ACTCCTTCCTAATTTTGACGAGATGGACTAGAGGGAAAGCCGCTAGTCAAGACCATCCACCGCCAACCCTTGGGATCCTCTTTACCAATAAACAGTAGGATTGATCGTTACATTATAACGCCCCCCACGATTGAAAGGATGAATATATTCCGTGAAGGATTTGGAGCCCACGAGCTGCAGTTTGCGAGACGATTTTACTCGGTAAATGATATATATATATATATGTATGATCACTTAATATTTTGTTTGTTTGTTTTTGAATTTCGCGCAAAGCTACACGAGGGCTATCTGAGCTAGCCGTCCCTAATTTAGCAGTGATAGAGTAGACGAAAGGCAGCTAGTCATCACCACCCACCGCCAACTCTTGGGCTACTCTTTTAACAACGAATAATGGGATTGACCGTCACATTATAACGCCCCCACGGCTCAAAGGGCGCGCATATTTGGTGGGACTGGGATTCGAACCCACGACCCTTAGATTGCGAGTCGAGCGCCCTAACCACCTGGCCATGCCGGGCCTGCTTAATATTTGGAATCTGAATGGTACTTTCGTCAGTTATATGACGAAGATTTTGTTTTATAAATGTTAAAAATTAAATAAAAGAGATGAATAAACAATAAGTGTTCGTCATATATACAGCACAAAGTATAGATATATATATACATAGAAAATTGTAGTTTCCGGATAGTTTGAAAGATCACACTTGAGGTTCCTCCTTCATTCAAAATCTAGTTTTTATTGATCATTGAAAAAGAAAGACAGTTTATCGATAGTTAAAGATGAATTTGTGAATTTTCATACGCACGTGCAATACCAGGTGAAACTGTTCATTTCGACAAATTGATCCAATTTATAAAGACTTGTAAATGACAAGGGAAACGAAAATGTTGAACTCCTGAAATGAAGAAAGTAAACTGTTTAATAATTCTAAATTCTGATTGGGTTTTTATCTTTTGTCTAAGTTAGTGAATACAACAAGTACTGTTTGTTGTACCATGTCGTTCGTGAAGTAAACTTGTTATATATTTATAGATATAGCAGTGTGAGGAGATGTGTATTTATAGATATAACAATGTGGGGAGATGTGTATTTATAGATATAACAGTGTGGGGAGATATGTATTTATCGATATAACAATGTGGTGGCTGTGTATTTATAGATATAACAATGTGGTGGTTATGTATTTATAGATATAACAATGTGGTGGTTATGTATTTATAGATATAACAATGTGGGGAGATATGTATTTATCGATATAACAATGTGGGGACATGTGTATTTATAGATATACCAATGTGGTGGTTGTGTATTTATAGATATACCAATGTGGTGGTTGTGTATTTATAGATATAACAATGTGGTGGTTATGTATTTATAGATATAACAATGTGGGGAGATATGTATTTATCGATATAACAATGTGGGGACATGTGTATTTATAGATATAGAGTATAAGGAGATATGTATTTCTAGACATAACAGTATGGAAGTTGTGTATTTATAGATACAGAAGTATGGAGAGATGTGTATTTATAGATATAACAATGTGGGGAGATGTGTATTTCTAGATATAACAATATGGTGGTTGTGTATCTATAGATATAACAGTATGGAGGGTGTGTATTTATAGATATAACAGTAGAGGAACCATGTTTCATCAGAGGTAAACATGTTTATCAATCTGTTTTATTACTAATCGTTGGCTGTTTGAAAATACCACAAGTAACAAAGATTTAGTTGATGTAACACTGGAAATAAAGTGTTGTTAAACACTTACTTGATAGGTGTGTTAGTCTGTACATTAATTCTGGATATTTAGGGTAATAGATGGACAGATGACGTATACGTAGCACCATCAAACTGTGTTTCATGTTTTTCTTTTAAAACTGTTTCTATTGTCAGTTTCCTTCAAGAGGCGAAGTTTTGAAGGTACACAAAGGGCTATCTGTGCTCTTCCCACCACAGGTATCGAAACCCGGTTTCTAGCGGTGTAAGTCCGCAGACATGCCGCTGTGCCACTGGTGGGCAGTTTTGAAGAATATCTATCTATTATTTCTGTTATCTTTCTATTTATCTAACAGACTGTTATACTCTCGTTTCTTGTAATGAGTTTAATTTAAAAAATATAGTATTGTTATTTTTTCGTTTCAGTTCACTACTCTGACTCACAAACGTATTAGGAAATTCGATTTTAACGATCAAATAAAGCAGTAATCAGTACATAAATTTGACGTTGGTGGCGCCAGTCTCGAACAATTTCAGGACCCACCGGGTTTTGTCTGCACTGATAAAGGCTGACAGAGTCATCCCTCTACCTCCTTCAAGTACAGGGGTCAGCTGTTAATTACTGGCCAATAAGTCGGTTGTGGGCCAGGTCATTATTAACGTAGCTGGAGCTGTGTTCAAACCAAAGACACACCGGATCTCTTAAGGTCGTCTACGTTCGAGTTAATTTGATGACAGCTGTAATCTGGGTTCAGTGCCGGAGATGACAGCCAGTCCGCCAGACGTCTCATCGAAACTTTGTTTCCCCTGCTGTGTGTGTGTACATCACCGGATAAGTGTAGCAGGGAGGCTGCGGAAAGACATAAATTTGATGCCTCAGTGATATCAGTCTAATTAATTTATACGTGAGCACAACATGGAACACGAGATCAAAATTATTGGCTTACAAGTCAGCACTTGAACTAAGTACACGAAAATATGTGTGTTTGTGTAAAAAGATATTTTCAAGTGCACGTTAATAACACATGATCTAAAAAGCTTATAATTATTTATACACTTAAATATTAACAAAGATAGATAGACAGAGATGGGTAGATAGATAGACAGACGGTTATATAGCTAGGAAGAGTGACCTGAGAAACAAATAGGTAAGAAGAAAGACCTGCCTGACAAATAGATAGACAGAAAGAGCGACCTGCCAGACAAATAGATAGACAGAAAGAGCGACCTGCCAGACAAATAGATAGACAGAAAGAGCGACCTGCCAGACAAATAGATAGACAGAAAGAAAG